GATTCCAGGAAGCCCAGGGCAGAGCAACTCTGCCTCGGGCTTCCTGTAGTCAGCCGCTGGTCAGTTTCAGCAGCAGCTGAATCTGGACGCCAGTTCCGACTTACATACAAATTCAACTTAAGAACAAACCTACAGTCCCTATCTTGTACGTAACCCGGGGACTGCCTGTACATATCTTTTTACAGAAGAGTATACAGAAGAATAGATTTAATTATGGTAATTTTTAAAGAGATTTGGGGAAATACATATCCTTTTATGTACTGCATTTTCATGCTCTTAATTTCATTTACGGCTACCTACTGTTAAAGATTCTAAATATGAAAATCCAATTAACGTCGCTTTACATCCAGCTGTAGTTTCTGAAGGAGACACACTGTACTTCCTAAAAGCATGATGAACTCCAGAATTCGCACTACGCAGATATTTTATTTTCTACATAATTCTAAAGCAGGGGGGAATTTTACTGGTGTACCAATTCATCTCAAGTAATTTGACATCCTGAGTTGCTACGATAATTTAATTGGTATTATGGGAGGAGTAGAGAAGGCAAACAAGTGACGTTAGTACTAACATAATATCCTGAGGCAATCCTGTGCTATTTTTCTCAGTTGCACCATCTACTGAAATATTCTGAGTTTAGTACAGTGATAGATCATGTTAGCCTCCCCACCCCGTTTTGAGGGGGCCACATACTACATGCCTGGAAGCTAACGAAATCTATAAGGGGCATTTGGATGCTTGAGTACTGTCAGTTTCTAGCTCTGTCTATTAAGCTCACATTTCAGGCCTCCAGCAGATGCCTGCCTTTGCCAAGCAAAGCTTGCGCTGCACTAAAAGTCTAATGAATTGATGTCTATGACAGCAATCTTATAAAGAATGTGTTACTAAGGTCTGAGTGCTTCTGGCAGCAAATGAAGATTTATTGGCCGATGTGGCTTGGTAAATTGCCTAAATAACCACCAACACACACTAATATGCATATAATAGCAGTAATGGTGCACTGAGGAGGCTTCTACTCAAATGTCTGAAAGTAGTTGTGTGTGTATATATGAAATTCCTAAACTACAATATTAATGGAGCTAATATTAAAACATGTCAGTAATTAAATCTTCTAACCAAGATACTGAGAACATGGTATGTGTTTATAAATGGATGCTTGTGGCAAAATGCCAGTCTAGGTGTTTCATGACACAAAGTAAACCACAGCTGCAGATTATATATCAAGTTCTATTTAGTCAAAGGCTTTATATTAGCAATATATTAGAGGAAAGAATGGTCAAGAAGCAACACAGGGACATTACATGATAGCACTGAATCACAAGGAAGTAGCTGACCACTGGCTTTCTAGTGGATAGAGGATGCAGCTTACAAAGGCTGCTTAGAACAGCACCTAGCAACTCATTCAGCAAGTCACACAGGCAAGCAGGCCGCTGCCAGATTTCTCAATTTCTAGACACTAGATTAGTAGCTGTCAAGAAAAGAGGAAGAAAGTTGAAGGACGCAGTCAGAGCAAAGATTCTTCAGGATTTCCAACCCTGTTTGGCAGAATGCATGGCAAGAGTGTATCTAGAAAGTCAATTAAAGCTTAAGAAAATAAAGAACCTCTCTCAGCAGTTCTGAAGTTGGGGAGAAACATACTCCCCAACTGGTACTATTCCACATTCCTCAGAAGAACTGGAGAAGCAGGAAGAGAAGTGTTAACTTAGACCAAAAGGAAACGCAAAAGGCTTTGCTTACTATTCAATGCAAAAGCACAGCAGGTAAACTTTCTATGTCAGTGAAAATGCCTTACTCTTTGCAATCTCAGTTTCTCCTTCTTCACAGAACTTGAGAGGCATTTCTGGTACACCTGAAATTAAAAAGGTACAGATGCTTATAGATTCATACTGCCCACATCATTCTCTCAGTATTTCAATTGCTAGAGCACTTTCTCCAGAAGAGCTCTAAAAAACTTGATGTAATTTTAGACATCCAACAGCAAATGGGCTAGGTTAAATATTCCTACCGATTAAGAAGCTGGTTTCAGGTCTCTATTTCTGGCCAACCTGATTAATTTATTAAGCATGTATTTATAAGAATGTACTGCACACTACATCTTATACTATGCCACATACTTAGCACATTTTTCTCTAATGTACCATCACCATGGTATATTTAGAAACCAAAATGTTTATTTTTGTACATCAGAAGTCATCCACAAAGCCACTAAAATAAAATGAGGGAGCCAAGGCTGTAGCAAAGTTAGATTTTACCCACTGCAAGATAGTTTGCTGCATTACTGATTTCTGCCATGATATTGCAGCCTCATTACCCAAATAAAAGGAATGCCACTAATGAGACAAGAAGCTGTCAGAGTAAAAAGCCCCCACCCTTGCTGCCCCCTTCCATCAACCACTACATTTATACATGTCCAAAACATGCACAGATGTCAGCTGTGGAATACCAAACAATTCAATTCACATAATGATTACATGATTAAATGTGTCTGTAGTATTTTATGTAGTTTAGTTAGCTTTGCTAAATCCCTCTATTCTCTCCTTTTCTAGGCCTCTTAAGTACAGATCAGGTGGTCCCACAATGTTTTACTGATCTGAGGAGATCACTCAATACCTAGTTTCCTAGTCCTGAAGATGTTTGCTTATGCAATATAACCAAGCAATAATCATGCACTCAGTCTTGCATGAGAAAGGATGCAGCCCTTGTCCCAAGGTCTTTTAGGCCAATAAACAAAATTTTAATTATGGCTTTATCTGTAGAAAGGAGCCAACACCCCATCACAAACGACAGATACTGTATAGTATGTGCTGTTTTTCCCATTTTTGGCAAAAATTCCATTACATTCAAATTCCAATGATAAGACATTCTACTTTAGTTTGAGGTGTGTGGAATGCAGGTTAACCCCTTCCAAAAATCCTTTATTTCATTACCCTGGCATAGTTTTGTGGCAGGATTTTCAAGTGGAACTTTAGTGATAAACAATGGTTTACTACCATGGTTATGTCCACACTGCCCAGTCTTGCGCAAGAACATATGCAAATGAGGCACAGCGATGAATATCGCATGCCTCATTTGCATACTTAATGAGCCACCATTTTTGTGCAAGGGGCTTTTGCGCAAGAAGGAGCAGTCTACACTGCTCCTTCTTGTGCAAAAACCCCCTCTTGCACAAGAGCTGTTCTGCCTGAAAATAAGCTTAAACAACAAAATAAACTTAAACAACAACAAATAGTCTGGTAGCACTTTAAAGACTAACAAAACATGTAGAAGGTATTATGGGCACAGCCCACTACTTCAGATGACCAGAGTGTAGAAAGAAGTGAGCTGTGCCCATGATACCATCTACATGTTTTGTTAGTCTTTAAAGTGCTACCAGACTATTTGTTGTTTTTTAAGTTTACATTTTTATTAGTTAGTATCAATTTCACTGTACACAAAATAGTTTCATTTATAATTAAAATTTACAGGTAGGCAAAGAAATATTGCTTGAGAACCAAAAGGTATCACTTATTTTTCACCAAGGTCCCAATTTCTTAGTCAAGGTATAGTCAAGCTTCAGATTCCAGAAAAAAATAGAAGTAAATAAAGAGATTTCAGGGTCCCTTCAAAAGCATCTGGCAATCCAGATTTGGCTTGTAGTCCACCAATTGACTACCTCTGAAATGTAAGTATATTTGCATTGTATATTTTGACATATAATGTTGCCAATTTGTGTTTTAGGGTTATAAAGTTTTGATTTTAAAGTTCAAAAAGTTTGTCATTAAACAGTTAGATCCTCCCATAATTTCCTACAACTGAAAATGTAAATTGATTAAAGTGCTTGAAAATTAATCAATATTATCCAACAAAATTATAAAATTAATTCTGCTAAGTCTACTTGTAACTTAACTTAGTAACTGTTCTATTCTTGCTAAACACACAAGTCACTTATGTAACAAAAATTAGAAATAGAGATGTAATCTCACAAAGGCCAAATTGCAGCCAATGCATAGGCGTACGCTGCTTAAAAATTCAGTGCTTTTTTCAGTCTAGTTAGGATTTCCCTAGTAATTGAGCCTCCACTACTTCCCTTAGGAAGCTATTCCACAATCTAATTAATCAGCAAGCTTCTGGTATGATGCTATGAGCCCTTTAATTATATTCTATTACTCCTTTGCTTCCTCCTAAATAATTCTCTCAATTTTCAGTGTTTATACCTTTCAGCTGCGCAAATGTGTGGTTCTCCGCCCCCGCTCCCTCAATCACTTGGCTAAGATAAACATTTTTCTCTCAAACTTTCTTCACAGAGTAACATCCAAACCCTAGCCCTGAACCTCTTTACTAGAAAAGAATTACAAAATTAAAAAGTTAACTAGAAGTAAACAAGTATCCAGCCCAGTCTACTGGACTTTTGCACTGAACAAGGTTGCAGTGCCCAAAGCATATAGTTACACGGTCTTCTCAACAATATTAAGCATCAGGTCTTTGTGTTTCATGCAAGAAAAACTCCCACTCTACATCTCACATGATAGATTCCACAAGAGTCTATTCACATCTCAACTGTGTTCAAGTGATTTGATTAATGGTTTCAGCACTATTCTCACAGATTGCTTCCCTCTCAGCTCAGTGCCAAAAACCATGGTGCTGTAAAAGGTTCTAACAATCACTGGAACAGAAGCCTTAAGTTGAAATTTAGTAAACGCATAAAATTAACACAAATGAAGCTATCCTGAAGTTTAACTAGATGTGTATTTTAGGAATGCAAAAATCCCATTTGTTTAGTTAGTCGGTTAAACATTAAGTTTAACCAGTTAACTAATTAAATGGAAGTGGGTGGGCAAGAACAACCTCCTCACCATGGATAAGGGCTGCTCCAGCCCAGCTGCTCTGTGCCCCATGTAGGGCTGCTGCTTCCAGGAGCTGCTGCCACTCCCAGCCTGCACGGGTAGGGAGCAGACAGCCTCACGCAGGCGCCCAGCAGGGCTGGAGCAGCCCTCCACCTGCAGGCCAAGTATGGTTAACCATTACCTGGTAAGCATCACCCATTAAGCGTAATGCTTACTGATTAACCAGTTACCCATTAACATCCCTAGTGTTTTTATTATTGTATTCCACTCTTGATTCTGTTGATCAGCACTAGAGATGTAAAAATGCATTTAAAAATGTAACAGTGTAATTGCTAAAAACCATAGCAGTCACACACACTTTATAATAAACTTTATACTGCAGAGACCACAGCAAAGCCATCCCAGGCATGAGCTGCCAGCCCCAGTCCTGCGGAGGTGGCTTCCTCAGGAACAGGGTAGGCATGGGCTACTATCAGCCCAGCTCCTGGGGAGGAGGCTTTACTGTGGGCTCTGCCAAGAAACCAGCATGTAACCAGTAAGAGTGAGGCTTACCCGTTAACCTTTTACATTCCTAGCTAGCACCATGTGCCTCAAATAGTTTTGTACTAATGCTTTAGGGGGAAAAAAAAAAAAATCAAGCAATTAATAACTTCACATCATCAGATGGCATATACTTAAACAAGATGGCTGACGGCAGAAGATTTGCACACCAGCTTTAACAGATGGAGAAAAATAGTCTGAGTTGCCCTTTTCCCACATACATAGCGCAGGGGTTTGCAGTTATATTGTTCAGTTTGAGCATTTTCTATCCTTCAAACAATTTTACATAAATATTCTAAAAGCAGTATTTTGCACCCATGAGCAGCTTCTTCCATAACCTAAAATTCAATCCTGTATATGTAGGAGTACTTGCACTTCTGACCACTTCAAAAAGGTAAAGATTTTAAAATCTCCCAAAAAGACAATTCTCTTTGGACACTGCTATTTATTCACATATTATACCCAGTCCAAGGGTATAATGTTACATGTTAGTCTTGTAACTTTAAAAAACAAGTAGTCCTGTGGCACCTTAGACTAAAAAATATTTATAGTATCAGGAGCTTGGGTTTTGCTATGAAAGCTCATGATACTATTTATCTATCTTATATATTTATTTTAATCTTTAAGGTGCCACAGGACTACTCATCATATTATACCCAGGTGTAAAGTCAGAGGGTGTGTTTCATGACCAAGTCGTAAAATACCTGTGATAACATTAAAATATATAGCTTAAGATGCACGGATATATCAACTTACAATACTTTTCAGAATTTCTTTTTGTGACTTTTAACCTGAAATGGCAGAACAAAGTGATTAAAAAAATCCTAGGATAGTATGATCTCCCACCACAAAAACTAACCATTAGGGATGTGAATGTGTAGTCATTAACCAAGCAGTCTGGGCTCACTGGTTAATCCTAATGGTTACACACCGGTTCTTCCCTCACTGCCTCTGTATTAGAGATGGCGGGGAAGGAGAGCGCAGGTGCTCTGTGAAAGTTGGTGTGTGTGGGGAGCCGGCTCTTAAGTCAGCTCCCCGCATACACCAGCTCCCACAGAGCCACCTGTCCCTCCCACAGAGCATGGTGGGGTGGGGGAAGAAGAGCAGGCAGGAGCTGGTGATCATGGGGAGCCAGCTTTTAAGCTGGCTCCCCATGAGCACCAGCTCCTGCCTGTTCCCCCTCCCTCATGTAAACATGTAACCACTATAAAATTCAGCAGTTACACATTTAAAAAAATAAATGCATTTTTACATCCCTACTAGCTAGAGAAATGAAACAAATATTTTTAAAAAACCAACCTTCTGGACAGGTATTGAAGCAGCTAATGGACTAATATCACTCCTGTTCCCTGGGGCAGGCTGTGTCTCAGGTGAGCTGATAGAAGAGGGGGAGCTTAATGAGGAATTAGTAAGTATAGAGTCTCCTTCAGGAGAAGATTCCATTGTCTCATTTTCTGAGTTCATACTTTCTTCCAAAGACACAGCCTGGGGAGACCTTGCAATCATAATATCCTCCAGAACTACTACAGGCATTTTCCCCTCAAATATAACACTCTTGAGTTCACTCTGATTGGCCCTCTTATTCTCCATATTATTACACTGCGTATTTGATAATTCAGAACAGGGTTTGGTTGTATCTATTGAATCTTCATCCTTATCTGCAGTAGCTTCATAGGGCGGACAGGTATCCATTGGAACATCCACTTGGGCATTCTGAATGGGCTTAAATGGACTTGTATCTTCTTTCGTACCATTAGTTGTCTCTATAGATGAAAATGCTTCTGGATTTAATTTACTGTGGTCTAGGCCATCAGTGTCGTTAGAGTCCTGTGTCAAGTCAAATATGAGTACAGTTTCTCTCACGTTATTTTTTATGTTTTTCTGTAAAAAGTTATCTAACGGACCCTTTCCATTAACAAGTTTGGAAGTGAACTGCATTTCAGAATCCAACTGACAATCATTCTCCATATTGTCCAAAGACGCATGTGATGTATCAAGAGTGGAATCTTTATTTTGACCAAGAACATCTTGCGAGCTCTTTGCTTTCTTAACTTCCATGCCTGCGTCACACTTCTCCTTTGGTACAAGATTCAAACGCTTGAAAGGTAACCGTGCTGAAATAGTAAGATTTTGTTACTTTAGTAAAGTCATATAAATCAGCAGAGGGAAAACTACAAATAGAGGGAGTCGATGGGTTTTTAAAAGTACAAGAAATCCTTCAACTCATAACAGGTTACGTTACTACATATACCGAACACAATTGGCTGGTTTAGCAAGTCTATGCAACACGCGATGTATAATATTTTAGAAAACACGTTGTGTCAGGAACTTCCTGAAAGTTACCTTGTACGAGTTTCCTCATGGGAATAACTGGTTTGTCTCTGCACTCCATGGCTGTAAGCAGAAAAACGCCAACATTGATGTTTAGCTCACATTTCTTCCCCATTCAGGAAACATTAAACTGACATCACACCACTGCCACCCGCCTCTCAAAAATGGAGAAGGGCAACCAGACCAGGAGGAGGAGGGTGAATGAGTGAGGCGCACGGGTTTTACCAGCACCAGGCCTGCTGTGCAGGGAAATTCAGCTCCCTCCCCCGATGGGGGGAACCGCCAGAAGGAGGGTGCCGGGGGCCTGTGACAAAGGCGCAAAGGGGGAGACTAGGCGTGACCAGGGCCATCGCCCCTCAGAGGGGTGCTCCCCCCCCCGCCATTTGCATTCACCACCCCCTGGTGTCCCC